CAAATTTATTAAATTTAAATTAGTGAAAAGAAATATTTACATCTACCTCAAAATATATATGTTTACCGCCTGAATTGCCATATTACAACAAACTCTTTAACGTTATCTTCACAAAACTCTGCAGATTTCAAGACTCTGCCGGTTACCATATGCGCGATTGTTTGCTGAAATGATTGTATGACAAAGAGAAATCTCATGAAACGCAACGTGCCGATTCTTTACGTTTCCCCAAGCAGAAAGCCATCGTCTCTTGTTCACAAGTCCTCAAGGAACGATTCTGAGTCAAGAAGCGAGACGACGTCAGGCAAATTTGATCGTTCGCGTACGAACGTTGCGCGTCAACGTGGCCGTGCGTAGGTACGTAGGTACGCGACAACCTCTATCTCTCTACCTGCTTTTGCGTTATATTCGGAATCGCAGCCGCTCCGTCATCGTTGCGGCTTTCGGCCGCGCGCGTCTTCTCCGCGGCCTGCCACCGCTACCGCGTGGTCCTTAATATCCGACCGGCGGTCTATTTTTAAGCGTGACTAGCGAGGTATGTGCATGTGTGCGGTGACGCAATCCTATGGTCTTTCCCCTTATATTTCCCTCCCTACCAGCCCGTAGCGCTCTTCCTCTCGCGCGCCCCGGCCGGCCGGCCGGCCTGCTGCCGCCGATGGGACCAATTCGACCGATAACGGCGAGTCCGCCTTATGTGCCGCACACATTCGCCAACTTCCGGTGCGATTGCGTGAGGAGAAGAGATTTCTTTCCAAGCATAACTGATAGTTAGTGCACTTAGCCTTCTATAATCTTAATGATCTTTGACGTTTCCTTCCGCAGGCGTTTCGTAAAAATTCACTTACTTGACAATAGAATCGTCAAGTGGTTTGCGTTCGCTTCAGAATCTCGGGCTTTGGATGTCGAGTTTTAGAATCTCTAATCAATGCAACGGATATATTGGATTAGTTAGGGATTCTGGTTTGGCTGGAACAAAACGCGATGTCGAGGTAAACACAACGCAGGATCACAAAGAGTCGTTTTGAAACGAAGTTGAAAACATTGATAGATGAGATGAAAAAGAGAGAGAAATATATATATATATATATATATATATATATATATATATATATATATATATATATATATATGAGGCGGAATTTCTCTTTGTAATATTTTCAAGCAAAATTAAACCCGACAGATTCGAGCTGTCTACGAGTACTTGAAGAAGCGGAAGCGGTAGATACTTCCGAACGGTATCGAGCAGCGATCGAATGAGTTTGAAGCTCTCAAGTGCCTTCGTTAAAAGTATACGTGCGAACTGGCAGGTTGAATGTCAAGGAACCTTCTATCTATTCACGCCTACGTGGGTGAAGGTCAGATAAGATTTCTAGATAAGTTTTTTTGACATTCGTTCTCGAGCAGTCATATACGTCTGCTTCGGGGCCACTTAGCATAATTCGGGGCCAATTCGCTTTGGGACTTGGAGTGGTCGTAAGAATCGAGCCTGTATTCACCGGCAGGATCTTTTTTAATCCTGGTCGATGTGTGGAACATACATGCAAAATGAATAACTCAATTTTATCAACTAAATCTCAGCAGTTGATTCGAAAGACTGATCGTTTTGCTAAAAGTTGGCCGTTACAGACAAAATTCATTATCTAAAATTAAAAATGCGCACTAGCACGAGCAGTTGAGAGAGTGACAGCTATTCCCAAGTATTTTAAGTGTGATCAAAGAAAAGATTACAACACTTTTACTTTGATGAATTTCAAAACGCGTATTGGATTCAATAGGGAAATTTTTCTTTCGAGAAAATTATTTAAAAAAGTAACTCGTTCAATACCAAATGCGTTTCACAATTTGTCCAAACAAGAGTGTCGCCACTCTTTTCTTCCACTGATTATACTTAATTTTACCAGCGAATATTTCTCGCTGTATAACGTTCAAACAGCGAATAAATTAGGCTTGATTAACTCCCTGTTTCAAAGAAACGTCTTAGCTTAGCTCCTCCTGCTAATCCTTTTTCTGCGTGCACCTTTTTTCCTCTTCCCAGATCTTTGGACACCGCTTTTGGATTTTATTCATGTCGCTCGCAATAAATCATAGCCGGAACTAAAAAAGAAAAAATTAATTGCGGGAGGATCTTCCTTGTGTACGACGCAGACGAGGTCGAAAACACGTATAATGACTTCTACGCGCACGCACTGTACGCACGCACTGTACGGACACGCGCGCTCCAACCTAGACCTCACTCCAGCCTCGATCCACTCCACTTGTTATTGCGAATTCGAGGTTTTATCGAGCTGGAGAGCGAACGCGCTCGCACTTGGAGCGACTCGGCTCCGAGAATCATTAATCTTCGCGCCGTAAATGAAGCGTTTTCACGCTTTAATACAAAGCGATCACAGTCTCTCTTTCTCTCTCCGCAGACCGTAGACCGTAGGCCGCCTAGGAAATTTGTTTTTGCTCAATTGAGTCACACACGCATGCGGGCTCGTCGTGCGAGAGGCGGCGAGCGGACGAACTCGCATCGTCTTCTTTCATCGTAACGGATGTTAGCGTTTTTATCTCGAGTCGCGGCCGTATTTGCATTTCTATGACGGGACCCGTGCGAGTTTTCGGCACGAGTGGGTTTAACTGATGGGAATGATCGGTTTATTGACTGAATGCTTATCAAGTTGGTTCGTCGAAAAAGGCAGAGGTCGATTGCAATAAAGATTCCAGCGTTTGAAAATCAAACGCAAGAGAGGAACATTGAATTCTGACGGAATCTATTCTTGACGATTCGTTTGACAAAACGCTTCGATACGAAATCCCCAGTGTGCACAAGAAGAATCGAAGTTGATTTCTCCGCGTAATCACTTTCAAAACTCGCGGAGGTGCGTCTCAAATTGCAGAATCACCTAACAGTCGAGACAGAGGAGTCTCTCGACGAATTGATGTTCCAGGTTGTAAACAGCTCCTTTATCACGGAATTATTTCCTGTTGTAGCAAAAGTTTAATTTGACTCGATTGTTGGGTAATTTAAGGCTATAAATCGAAGAGTCACGGCAAATAATCGCGGAAGATCCGTCACAGATGTCAAGCTCCCATCAAGGAATATTTCTCCCAAATTGATGATTAAATTACCTGTCGATGACAGGAGAGAGAGACGTCAATGACGGAACGTCACACGTATATAGACATAATACGAAAATAATTTATATAATTGCACAGTATTACACGGACTTGCTCAGTAGGTGACATTTTCGACATATCAGATCCAGCCATCCTATTAAGTCCTAACGCGAAAGTTAATCATTCAGAGTCCTATTTCCTCCCTGCGTCGCGGTGACGTAAGACCGGGTTTTCGAGCCTCGCCTAAAAGCGATCGTTTATTAAGTTAACGCGTCTTAGAGAGAGAGAAAGCAGAGTACACACTGAGAAAGAAGATATATAAAAAATAGTAAATATTTACTCTGTAGATACTCATTTACTTAACATATTTACTTAAATCTAAATATTTTTTTTTAAGTAGAATAAATAATTGCTTCCGTGAAAAGCTAAGATTTTTTTGAAGTTTCAAGAAAATGTGTATTTCTTATTTGTAAAGTATTTTATATTTGTATGAATAAATTAACACCTATCAAATAAGTATTTATTTTTCAGATATTTTTTCTCTCAGCGTAGAGTTTGAGCCTTGAAATCCTTCAAAACTTTAGTAGTACAAAAGTGAAGATTGCCAGATTCTACATAAGAAAGCAGGAGAGACAAATTACATGAATTACGCAGTTTTAAACGAAAGTGTCAACGATCGGCTTATAGGTTGACATAACGCTGAAATAACTTCGTTGAATAAAATTGTATAACGCCGAATAAAAGGGAAAGAAAAAGAGCGTACGCAGACGGGGAAGAGTTTTGCGGTCGTCATCGGGGTATTAATTATGGTAAGAAAAGTTCAGTATGTCCGTTGCGAAACATCAACCGGGCGTTGCGATTGCCGTGCGCGCGCTCGCACAGTATCTATTTCCACCGCGGCAGCGCGTCTCGCTTTAATGGGAGATTAAGAAGAATTATGCGATAACGCGGCGTTTCCTTTTACAGGTACTCGACACCGGTTGTAATTAGCGTTTATTGCGAACGAGCGATCAAGCACTTTATGAATCAGACAGGCGCGCACCGTTAGACGTCGAGACGGCCGATATTTTGTCCGCTTTTTAAGCGCGATAACTCGACACCAGTGAAATATCGACACCCGTCCCGCGATTATCCGTCGTTAATGACGCGTATCGGTGCTTCGCCATTTACGCGATAAATTCGCGTTGCAACGAAGGCAACGGAATACTCGAAGACGTCGAAACGAAGGACGCAAAGAGAAAGAGAAAGAGGAATAGAGAGAAAGTGCGTTCTCACGAAGCTCGCCTCATCCCCCGTCGATTGATTATTTACGAAGTTAATTAGAAGCAGGGTTGGGGGGGAAGTGGTACGTTACTTCTAACGTCGTCATTGTTACGAGTTATTTTTTCTAGTAACAACTTGCTAACGGCGTTGTTTTCTCATTAACAATGATGACGGTAACGAATAGTAATCGTTACTCTTGTCATTACTTTGCAAATAAAGAAGACGTATGCATGATATAGAAAGCAAATCGTGAAGAAGAACAGTCTTCATAATTTGATAAAAAAAGTAACAGAAACGAATTGTTACTTCTTGTAAGTAACTATAGCAGTAATGAGTCACTTTTCACAAAATGAATAATGAGTTTCTTTTAAAAAGTTTTCTTCTCTCTAAGGGCCGGATTTTCAATAGCCGGAATTTAAACTTGGATTTCAACTTAAACTCTGTTTAAACAAAACAAACGCATTGTTAGAATAGAGTTTAAACTTGAATCCAAGTTTAAACTGCTATTGAAAAATCGGCTCTAAGAGGAGCTTTCCTGATCCTGATTAAACAAGATTACTCCTGTTAGAAGTGTGACGTCTTTGGGAGTCTAAGAAGAAAAAGAACACGCTTAAAATTTCGCGCTTCTTCTATTACAGATTGGAAGCGCAGTTGTCCGCGGATGCAGCAGTCAACATGGACTCCCACGTCGGTCTCGACTACATCGTAGATAATCCTGATTATTGCGTCAAGCTCGCCTCAGGTACATGGTCCGTTTTCCTTTTTCCGATCCCCGTTAATCCCTGCGATCCTCTTTGTGTATCTCGCATTAGCGCGATTGTGTATCGCGCCTTAGCCAAGGCTATAATGCACAGCAATGCACAGCAATGCACTCTCGATTGCAGCACTGGACACGGCATGCCCGTCCGTGAAGAAGCAAGTCGTGGAGTTGCTGTCGGCGCTCTGCGTCTACAGTCAGGATGGCAGGCAGAGGGCCATCGATACTCTTCACACCTACCAGGTGCGACCGTCTAATGTCGCGATAAACGAACGAATGAGTCGGGCCGAAGAGCGCGCGATTTTTATTCTCGGTTTCGTTCAACTTGACGAACGTCACGAGGACGAGTCGTCCGTGAAGGATCATCGGGGAGGACGGCTTTGCATTCAGATGCAAAGAGTGCTCATATCTGCTCATTGTAAAAGTGCCGCGTGCCACGAGCTTAGGTAAAAGTCACAGTTCAAGGTCTCCCTCCGATGAACAAAAGAACGAGCGACACTGTAATATACCTCCGTGTGTTCGTGCGCGCGCGCGCCACGCGAGTAAGAGTGAATTGCCGTAATGTTTCCCATTGTTTAACGCGTCGCGCGAGCTCACGAGAGCATTGTGAAATATATATTTTTTTATCGCCTGGCAAGAGCAATTTGCATGCGCTCAGGAAACGGACGCAGAGGACGGCGTGAAGCGCGGTCGCACCGCCGGCGTTGAATTCTTCCGACCGAGAAGAAGCAGAGAGAGAGCGAGAGGAAAAGATACTCGAGAGCAATCCTCTTCGATTTCTCGACGTCGGACGTCGGCTCGCGAGGCGTTTCAAAATAAGAGGCGTGCATTTTTGTAGGTGTTTGTGGAGATTTTAACGATCCTCATTTTGCAAGCAGTCCCGTTGGCGCTGCGCGATCCGACGGGCGAGTTTTCGACACTCAACTCGAGAACCATTGGCGCCTCACGCGCGAATCATTCTCGCTTGTTAATTCTCTTTTTTCATTTCGAATTGTAAATGAGACAGCCTTTCGCGCGCTAAAGGCTCGTATCAAGCCGAATCATTCAGCGAAGTTGCGAATTCGCCGTTAATTATCTCGCGTGGCAAGAACGTCGGTCGACGCGATGCGAGACGTCTTTGTTTCGTGCGGGCGGAATCGGCGATATCTCGAGACGTTTTCCCAGAACAGAGCGTGATAACTCACGCGAAACTCACGAGACTCATGTATTCGGCTGCAGGAACGGAAGGGCGAGCGTTATCGATTGCGAGTCGTGGTCGACGAGCTGCAGAAAGCGACAGCCGAGGATTACCAGACCGCGCTGCTGGCGTTCATAAATTGTTTGGTCATCTCGACGCCGGTGCTCAAGGATCGCATACGTATTCGCAACGAGTTCATCGGTGAGTGAAAGAAAACGCCACTCGAGCCGGCTCCTCCTCGCGCGGGTGCCATCGAGTCGCTCGCCTTTGCTCGCTTCCTTATTGCCCCGGGATTAACTACTTGACGATCGCGCGTTTTCTTAAACGTTCTTTCATTCGCGAGGCGGAGGAAGTAAATATATCGCTCGAAGACGGCCGTGATTTACTCGTCCCATTAGCATTAGTCGCGTTAGCAAATCAAAATCGACGCGCTCGCGGAGTACACACGGCCGATCCGCGCGAGACGCGCCTCGGGCGATCTCTCGATATGCCCGAATGTAGTTTGAGTTAATTGGCCCGGCAGATAAATCTCGCGGGACCTCTCGATTCAGCGTTAATGACTCGCCGCCGGAGAATTAATGCGTACGCCACGGCGAAAGTTCCATTACCGGCTGTTTTTCTTCTCTCAACTCGCGATTTTTAGACGATTCTATGGCACCCCGCTGACTATGATGGAACTTCATTGGGGGGCATGGTGGGTGTGATGGAATTTTGGAATTTTGCACGTGCACTTGCTTGCGAAACAATTTAGACAAATAAGTTTGACAGCCATTTGACCGACAAATTTGCGCAGTAATCGGTTGTGACAAGAGTCGAAATTGATGCCACTGGTTTGGAGCCGAAATTGACGAATGTAAAGATCCTGAGAGGATGTCGGAGTGCTTTCAGAAGCCGCAGTGTGTAGATAAAAGAGAGCAGTGTATCATACACATAATAGTAGTTCGCGGGTGCTGAATTGAACGCGTTAATGATGTTTCGTTTGACTTCATGTTAACATGTATAGACACATTGGATTTATGCTAGCATGTGTGTATATACACATCTACTGACACCGCTAGTGCAGTATCTGTAAAGTACAGCTAAACTGCTCTTTATCATCTACTTCTTGGGAAATTCGTGTATGTAATTTTTCTTAACATACGATACTTTCCTTAAGCTTCTAAATTTATACTTCTGAATACTGGACGTTTGTTCCTATGAACAATTTGTAGTGTATTATCATTTTCTTTCCCTTTCTATACTGACCGCGGAACTTTTATACAAGGTACAAATTGTCTTAGGAAAAGTCAGCTAACTTTTAGCTAACTTCTAAATTTTTTCCTGTAAAAGTATTATGATAGCGCACTTTCTCAGAACGTGTATTTTAACCGTGCGCGAAAGGGCTTCTGAATCGGTGCAGTCAACGATGTGACGTATTCTCTTAATATGAAGCAGTCAAACATCACTGAAAACAGTGAATATACTGTGAATATAATAATGAAACAGTGAATATACTGATTTACAGTTACAAGTATAGCACTGAAAGTGCTCAGTGCTATATTCATAACTGATATCTGTGACTATTTGCTGATTCACTTTAAGAGAGTAGAAAGGACTTTTACGGTTGTCTGACGGCACTCCGACATCGCCTCAAGTGGAATCTTAAGCGCAAAGACACGATTCGAAATTCCTACAATCGTCGATTCTACGGAGTCGTCGGAGGTTTCGCACGGTATCACCGAATCGGGTGCTTTCTCGTTCCAGGACTCAAGCTCCTGCCGATCCTGAACGAGCTGCGGTGAGTATACCAACCGCCGACCCGGATTCGCGGCATTAACTTATTAACCACTTTAACATTGTGGAATAATAAATAATAATGAACGTGTTACGAAAGGTTATGCTTCATTGTACCCACACCTTCCTCCTTTGCACGCTACGTAACGTCGAGCGCACGCAGAAATAATTACACCATGGATTGGTTGGTACACTAACGAGGGAGAATATGCTGTTTCGTGGCGGCGGTGATTCTGGATGTCATCTTCCCTGCATGCACTAATCCAAATAATATTCTCAGTACAAGTGTCGCACACTTCCGAATAATCTCGGTCTCTCACATTTCTCAAGTGACGGAAGAGGTGAGACATCCACGCGTTTGCACAAACGATTCAGGGTGGACACAAACATTAGGATGGGCGGAATTGATTATACTGTATCTCTCGAATATCTTTGCAATCTTTTGTGCAAAACGTAAGATATTACAATTTTGCTAATTCATATCTAACGTGAAGAAATGTTGTCTTGGCGTGCAAAAAACTGTGGACGATTCTTTGCAGAATCGTTCTTGTTTCAGGCTCTCGTTTCTCAAGCGAAATTTTTTTCGCACCTTCCGGTGTTCCTCGATTAAACACGATTGTTAACGGCTATCATGTACGTTGCTTATCAGTACGCACTGTTATGCAAACAGCCGCCAGCACCATTAGCGCGATCCGGTAATCGCGCTCTAGCTAACGTGACTCACAGAAATTAATTCGTAGTCGGACCATGTACGTTCGGAGGCGATCGTGCGAGCGAATCCGTTTGCTCCAACGTGCAAGAAATAAGAACGAATCTGCAAGAGATGATCCGGTAATACTGATAATTTCGCTTGAGAAGATCTCTCTGAGCGGCCGTCGATCGAATTCAGCTCGAGTGCGGATCTAGAGTCACGTTAGTTGACGACATCGAGTAGCGCGAGATCGCTGTGCCAACGGATTGATGGTGAAACACACGACGATTCGTTAATTACACTAGTTAATTGCATTTTTAGAGGAGTGCTCGAGTATCACCTCGACGGAAAACTGCAGTGATTGAGAAAACTTTACGGTATAAATACTATGTAAAACTCTCACGAGTTGTGATAAGGTGATAAGGAGCGTAGGAGAGAGACAGCCATATTACGTCAATCCTTAAGTAACGCTTACTTTCTCCGTATCAAATTTTGGAAAGTTTCTTTAGAAGGAGTTGGAATCTTTTCAAATCACGGCAGTTTTCTCTCGAGATCACGAGACAAACAAGAGAAATTCGCGCGCTCTTCAAGTTTCCTCGAAGATTACACCAATGATCGAGGAGGAGGCGAGCGGTGATGACACCTTCATCGGCGCGACAGTGCGACGCCAATGGGCGAGAAATAGAATCGAGTATATCCGGGCAATTCGTCTCCCTCTCCACATTCTCAGCAACGTTCTCGACGAGCGAAGAGAAGAGAAGAGAAGAGTAAAGTAGAGTAGAGAAGAGAAGAGAAGACAGGAGAGGAGAGGAGAGAGAAGGAGAGAAGGACGACGAAAGCGGGAAGGGAGGTAGAAAGGGAGGAAAAATAGAAAAGGGCCACGGCGCCGGCGGGGCACGGAGAGAGCGAGGAAAGCCCGAATTAACTCCTTGCCTTGGCGATGCACCTGCGACCGCATCTCGCGTCGCGCTCTGGAGCGGACGTGGTGCAACGACGCGTAGCATCGCCAGAAACGCGTCCGCCGTCGCGACGCGCCGGCCGGCCGGCGTTCTCCGTGTTGCCGTCTTCGTGATTCGACTCGCGATCGGAACGAGACTCTTGCCGATCATCGTCGTCGTCGTCGATCGTTGTCGTCGTCTCTTCTTCCTTCCATATCCGGAGCTTTCATTTGAAGCCTTCACCGCACGCTCGACACGTGTGGACCGGTGGTGGAACTAGCGGTAAGGAAGAAGAGAGGAGAGAAACGAAAAGGGACCTCGTCTTCATCTCGACTCGGCTCGACTCGTCGAGCCGTGATCGACAATTAATATCCAAAGACCACGCGACACGACTTCTGCGGTTGCAATTCGAGTGTGACACGACGGACGTTAATTAGCTGCGGCTACGAGTATTTTCAACACGTCGCCGATGAATCACCCCGGCGCTCCACTTGGTGCAGCCTCCCCGCCGAGATGCTCTGCGCTCGACTCCGCGAGGAAATAGAACGTCCCGCGCTGGATCCAGAGCTTTCTGCGCGCGGAAAATCCGCGGAATGCATGAGATATTCGCGATCCATCCCGCGCGAGGCTTCACCCCGAGGCGCGGCTGGCTCCCGGTCGGACGGTCACTCGGACGATTTCGTGTATTTTAAGAGAGAAAGGCGCGTTTTAGGGAAGCCCGGTGTGTGTCTCTCGTCCTTTTGCTGCAGGGCGACGCTGCCGGCGTCGTCGCTCCCCACGTGAGTCACGGCCGTGGCCCCGTGGCGCGTTCTCCTCGGTCGTGCTCTTCTTTATCCCTCGTCTGTTTTGCTCGTGGCGAAGATCGATGGCAGGATTGGACCGCCGCGCCGAGTATTTCGGTACACTACGCGGTAGGACACGCTGGAAGCTTACCAGATCGTTCGCCACGTTCAGCTGCTTATCTCTCTTTCTCTCTTTTGCTTTCTCTATTTCTCCTTCTTTTCTTTCTTTGCGTTCAAATATCAACGGCGTGTTTCTTTCTGAACCCTCGACCCTCGATTACCCTTGATTACGATACGCGTTTCCGAGCGGACGCATCCGACAACGAACTGCGACGACCGAGGGACGATGAGGAACTTCTTCCCTTCGACACCGTAATCGATAATCTATGTTTCAATGCACACCCGTCAGTATCCCCGGAGATTCCAATCTATTTGTTGGATTCGAGGATCAATGCTGAGAGCCGAGACGCTGTGCTCCGGATAGCCCGCGGACTATTTCCGTGCGCTTTGAGACGGCAGAATGTGTCCGTAGAATGTGAAGTGTTCGAGCTATTCGAGCACTCCGCGACGTTTGGACCTCATCGATAGACGCTGAGGTCGTTCCAACTGTTTCAGCTGTTTCTTCGCGCGCGCGAAGACTCGCCGGCCGCATAGTCGCCGCTGGTGGAAAAGCTGCGCGAAAATTGTTAACGTGAGCGCGTCGCGTTTGGTTTCCTTTCTTTCTTCTTCTTCTTCTTCATTCCTTCGGGCGTCTCGTACGCGACTTCCTTTCGCGTTTCTCGTTTTAGCGGAAGAGCAGAAGGCCGAATTTTCGAAGAGAGGTCGCAAGCGTGTCGCAGGAGAGCGTGCGCTTCCGCCGAAAATAGAACGGAGAACGACGTGTTAAGGGCTTGAAATATCCTCGGATTGGGAAAGCGTGCGATTGTTCTTTGCAGGAAGAGCCACGCGCCGGACGTGCGGGTGCAGCTGGACGTCTTCGACGATCAACGGGAGACCGACGAGGAGCTCACTAATCACGGCCCGCCCGGGATCGACCTCTCGTCTCACGTGGACGTCTTCTACGCCATCCTCGGTCAGGTATGAGACCTCGTGTTTTCGTCCTGTGTTTCCAACATTTTCCCTCTTCCGCGACACGGCACTTCCAACAGATATTCCCGATGAATCTTGTATGTGTCTTCGTTCCAGAAGTAAAAGTCGCTTCGCGCTCGAGACATTTCCAGGTTTGAAAAATTAAGTGATGTTTATATTGAGAAAAGAAATAATAAGAAAATAATGTGAGTTCTGTACTGTTTAATAAGAAAGAAAGATCGACTAGTAATTTCTTAGCGATTAATCACACGAGTCATTGAATCGTTTAATCTTCAGTCTCCGGCAAGTATCTTCGCCGTACGCGAGATCGCCGTAATTAACGGACGCCTCCTTCGAGAGTAAATTCCGCTCGCTCGAGGCGAGCAGTACATCGCGTCGCGTTGTTAGCCGTTCACTCGTTAAACCGCCAGTGTCAACCAGTCAATCTCCATCGGTGCTATTCTAAGCGCCGCTCCAGACAAGCATGAATAAAGAGCGTTGGTCCATGAGACGTGTGACGAAACGCAGCGTGCCCTCAGGTCGCAGATACTCCACAGGAGATACCATTCCTGAGTGTCCTGCAGCATCTGCTGCGGCTCGACCCAAAAGACGCCGCCAGTGATCTGGCATGGGACACCGCGGAGACTCTGGTGCATCGCGCCACATTGCTGGAGAGCCGCGAGGACGCAACCAAGCTGCTGAGGTCGCCTAGTCTTCAGGTGAGCGCCCGCGCCCTTCACTCGCTCACAATTTTGCAATTTTTCCTCAGCGAAAATGTCGAGGTAGATCATTACTTTATCTAAGCACCTCACTCAGACACAAATTATTCTTGTACCTTTAACATATCTTTGTGGTTAAAGCTCAAATCAGATCTCAAAAGCTCAAATTCTGTTCAAGTCTACTTGAAATTGATCGAAGATAATTTTGTTATCCACACTTAATCGTTCGAAGCAAAAAGCGCAGCTTTTGCAATCGCTTGTATGCGTCGATTGCAAAAACTATTGATGTCTCGACCTTTTTTCCAAGGAAATCTTGTCAAATTTCCAAACAGTTTACATCCCGCATAACTGTCCGCTTTTTTCTTTTCATTTTTCAAGAAATGATTGAAAATGATAATTATGTTTCGAATCAGTTAAAATCATCGAGATGGTGTCGTCGTGAACGACAGAGCCAAAAGGAGGGAGATGATCAAAGCGCAAATCGAAAGTCCGTCGCGTTGGTCTCTTCGTGAAATACTATCGTCGCGATTCGTTACGCAACGTTCCGCGCTAAACGCTTCTAGGAATGATCATTGTGACACGGTGAAGGTGGGTCGGAATTATCACTTACGCGCTGTGTGTCTTCCCCCGCGTGAGCCGATAATAAATTTATCCGCCGCGATATTTTTTTCACTCTTTTCGGGCTCTCGCCGATTGTACAATCAGGTGGACGTCGCGCCACCGCGGAGGAGACCTCGATCGCGACCATCGTTACATCAGATCCCGATCACCGAAATTTCTCGACTACTTGTGAGTACTTGCAGAGTAGAGGAGGGAAGAAGGGAAGACCGTCAATGTCAACCGCGTTAACGCGAACTAATGTAACACTCGTGCCCCGTCCCGTCCCCGCTGCGCCGGTGGGGTACTTTTACTTTCTGCCGTACTTGACCGAAAGACGTGAGTCCATAAAAGAAGAAACCCGTACCACGCTTCATGTCGATGAATCACGAAACGTGCATTTACACTCGCGGACTTAGTCGTTCCTTCCATAAACCGCGCAAAGAGATATATGATCTTGCGTCGCGCTATCCCGAAGAGCGGGACTTGTCTTCAAATTTTAATTAAAACACTTTTCATGGAGTAGAAATTTCTTGCCTCTGCTCTGTGCTTAATTTGCGAGGAGATCTTCTTTTTTAGTCTCTTATAGTCCAGAAGAAAATGTGTATAGAAGCATCAGTTATTGACAATATAAACTGCTTACTTTGAAAGTGACAATCCAATTTTTGTCTATTTTTCGCTTTCTTTATTTTGATATTAATTTGTAAGCATAGCAACTAAATTATCGATTTCCTGCGAAATCGGACTCATATTATTTCCAAAATAAACGATTTGTGTAATTGAGGGAAGATCGTAAAATGAAATATCATTTGTTAAATATTTGTTAAATAGCAAAAGTTATAATTGACGTCACAATTCACTAGCTGTATCTCGAGATTTTCGCTAATTATTATTAATATATTATATTAAGATATCATATCATATTGTTATTAATATATCATGAGAAAATTTGAGTGCCATTAAAATTGATACACGTACACTTAAAATAAGCTATTCTTAATATAAGTTTAATATAAGCTTAAGTATTTCCAATTTCCAGGCGAACCTATGCTGTCATTGTCGCGGCACCGACCAGACGTGCGGACCGTCGCGGAAAGCTTCGTTGCCAGCGAATAACCCGACACCACCTTTGCCGCCGCCGCCTCCACCTCCGGTCCCGGTGGCACCGACCCCGCCGGCGCCGCCGAGCGGCGGCTTTGTCTTGCCGCCACCGCCTCCGCCGCCGCTCTTCGCCAGCGTCACCACCGCTGATGCTGCAATGGAGCCTCCGATGCCGCCACCTCTGCGTGTGCCCCCTGTCGCACGCGCACCTACCTCCGAGCCTCCCAGCAATCACGCCAGGCTGCTGCCGCAGCAGGAGATTCCCACCCCCAAGACGAAGATGAAGACCATCAACTGGAACAAGATACCGAATCACAAGGTGATTAAGTGCAATGTTGCTCCAATACATAAAACCGGCGCGACACCTTTATGAAAAAAAAGATTAAGTAGAAGAATTAATATAAAAATTATAAAATAAAGTTTTGCATGAATGCAACAACAATTTTTGCCGAAATTTATCGAGAAGGATGTTAATACTTGCGGTGTAAACTCACGTCACAGGTGATCGGCAAACGGAACATCTGGTCCTTGGTGGCGAACGAGCATCAGAATTCTCCGATGGCAGACTTGGACTGGGCCGAGATGGAGGGCCTGTTCTGCCAGCAAGCACCGCCGATGATACCACCGGCGACCTACGCCTCCTCGTACGGCATCGGCGTCGACGCGGAGCGGCGTCGTCGAGAACCAACGGAGGTAACTTTGCCTAATGTTATTTCATAATTTTTTCCAATTAAACGAGTCATTTATTTTGAGAATAGTATAAATCCAATATCGAAAGAAATCCATAACTTGGTTATTATGATTTTGAATCATTATGATAAAAAGAAATTTTGGAAAAAGTGGATAAATGAAATATATTATGTCGGTTTTAAAATAAGCGACATTATCAATAATTAACACTTCTGTATACATTATTCCTTTAATTGTTTTTTTTTTCAGATTGCGTTACTCGATGGGAAAAGAAGCTTGAACGTGAACATCTTCCTAAAGCAATTTCGAAGGTACTACAAACGTGATGAAATCGCGGAATTATAGCTTCCACTCTTACGTATCTTTCCATTTCAGTTCAAACGAGGATATAATCCAATTGATCAAAGACGGCGGCCACGACGACATCGGTGCGGAGAAGCTACGCGGTCTCCTGAAGATCCTGCCGGAAGTGGACGAGCTCGAGATGCTGAAGAGCTTCGACGGTGACAAGTCGAAGCTCGGTAACGCCGAGAAGTTCTTCCTGCAGCTCATTCAAGTACCAAAGTAAGTGTCAATGCGCCGATCAAGTGATTCGACGATTCGCGATATAACTAATCGCGATCGACGCGCAGTTACAAGCTGCGCATCGAGTGCATGTTGCTGAAGGAGGAATTCGCCGCGAACATGAGTTATCTGGAGCCGAGCATCAACTCGATGATTCTCGCCGGCGAAGACCTCATGACGAACAAACCTTTGCAGGAAGTGTTGTACATGGTTTTGGTCGCCGGAAACTTTCTCAATTCTGTATGTAATTTGGAAAAGATTATATTCCAAAGCTTGATTACAGATCAAATGAGAGAAGAGAGAAAGAGTTAATCGGCGATTATACTCTTGCAGGGCGGTTACGCTGGTAATGCAGCGGGCGTGAAGCTTTCCTCATTACAGAAGCTCACTGAGATTCGCGCGAACAAGCCAGGGATGAACTTGATACATTACGTGGCATTGGTAAGAAAATATCAATTAATTATTTTTAATAGCATATGTGCATAAATATAAGTAATTTATAATTATGTAATTTTATGTGTGAAAAGAATATCTATGGTATTCGTGTACTTTAGCAAGCCGAGAGAAAGCGCAAGGACTTGTTAAATTTTGCGAAGAATATGACTGCCTTAGAAGCGGCGACAAAGTAAGAACTGTTTTACACTGTCATAATTATTGTCAAACGCCATACACTGACAAATTTTTATTTTGCTCCAGAACGACGATCGAACAATTAACCAACGAATTCAATAGTTTGGATACGAAGATCAAGAAAATCAAGGGTCAGATTCAGCTCTCTTCGACTGAAAGCGATATCCAGGAACAGATGGCACAGTTTCTTCAGGTAATAAACATCAGATTTAGCAGGAACAAAAAGTAAACAATTAGTGTAATTAAATTCTTTTTTAATTAGCTTTTTTAAAACCAAAGAAATTAATTTTCTTCTTTATCAAGATACGTTCTCGTATTTTTTGCAGGTGAAATTATAAATACGAACAAGAAAGCACACACATGGATAAAAAATGAGAGAGGTCGTAATTCCAATAAACTTTTATCTAAAATTCACAGATGGCCGAACAAGAAATGGCACAGTTGAAGAGAGACATGGAAGAACTCGAGGGAGTGAGACGATCGCTCGCGGAATTCTTCTGCGAAGACACGAACGCGTTCAAGATCGAGGAGTGCTTCAAGGTATTTCATCAATTCTGTCAGAAGTTCAACCAAGCTGTTGCAGAGAATGAGAGACGGCGTATTCAAGAGGAGCAAGTTCTGGCACGTCGCAAGCAACGGGAGGAGCAATTGCTGGCGAGAAAACGACTGCGTGAGTTTCTCATTAGAATAGTTCAATTGCAAAAATAACTTCTAAGTTTCATTCAAACAACGTATTTCTCTCTCTCTCTCTCTCTCTCTCTCTCTCTCTCTCTCTCTCTCTCTCTT